AGGATTGACACGATCGCGTTGTCCTCAAGCCCTTCTTTGTCCAGGAGCTACACAGTCATGATCACTTTTCATCAGGGTCATGGACCACGAGGGTTTGCCTTCCACGAGTCCTCCAACGCATCAGCCTCGGTCCATCGTCCTTCAAACTGATTTATTACGATGGGCTATTTGTGGCCTTGGATGGGCATAAGCAAATAATGACTCTTAACGAGAGAAAGCGTCCCGTGGAATAGCGACTAGTTCTGGGGCTGAATTGTTTTGAAGGTCATCCGTATCTTGTCGAATGTTCAGGCTCATTACTGGTGGCTTGGACGATAAGGAACAATGGGTATGGACCCGTAAGAAAGATCCGAGTTTTCGAAGTTGACTTGTAGAAGGAAACTCAGGAAGAGGTCAAGAGCATGGGAAACGCATCTCTCTTCTTGAATGACAACTCTTCGTTCTCAGCGGAGTTCAACGCCGAGGCTTGCCTTCCCTGGGTCAAGCCAAACCACGTCTATTTCCCAGAGTACGAAGATGAGAAGATGAAGAGTTACAGCATGGAGGACGGAAAATTTGATGCAACTAGCAGTCACGTCTATGATGCCCAATGGTTCCAACCTGATTTTTGAACTTAATATTTGAGTTTTTTCTCTTCCTCAATATGAAGATTTTGATGTCAAACCCGGGTCCACTGGAATGGCCCATCTCCACCTTGATCGCAACATAACTACACGTGTGACCCGCGGGATCAACGGTTCGTACAAAAAATTCCTCATTTACCGTTTTCGTTGGTAGAACATATGTTAGTCGTGGGTGTTAGCTTAAATTTTAACTTTTGATTGACTAATTTCTTGGCACGACATGGATAATGCTTTTAGCTGGAGATTATGGATATAAATCTCAAAATAAGGATATGTGCGCATAATTAAAATGAGAGATTAGTTAAGTAATCGTCAAGAGATATCAAATTTTAATTATTAATTGATATCTAACACTCTCTTTACTTTTTACTTTTATATAGTGAGATATATAAGGGTACTTTGGTGATTGAAAATTGGTTATATTTTTTTTTTGCTAAAATGAAAATTGGTTATATATTGTAGAGATAGATATAGACAACAATAGATTAAGAGAATTAGCAATCCACTGAAAAAATTCCAACGCTTATCTAATTTTTCTAATTAATTCAAGAGTAAAACTAAAATATTCGTTGAACATAGGTAATTAGACTACATGGAAAGATAGTTAGAAACATTATATATCTAACTAGGTGTTTGGTTTATTCAAATCGTCAATTGTAATTAATAAGAAATCTACTAAATGGACCTAATTACCTTTTCAAATCACAATAAAAAAAATTGATGCGACTGGATTGGCATTAATGAAATTTACGTTTATGCCCCTTATTGTGCCCCAGTTGTGCCAAGACACTGGTGGTATAGGTATGTGCATGTTGCACGTAGCCATCATTTTTCATGGTAATTACACCAAGGTCACAATAATTGAGAATAGATCGATATATTATGCACATGTTATGATATGATAAAATTTCTTAAGTGCATGAATCCATCTAAATTAATTTTTAGCTTTTATTTTATCTAAATCTTGCTCTACATCCATCTGACTTTTTTCCTAGCTTGAAACATTTTAAATATGCAACTGTTGACATATGTAGATTCATATGCAAACTCTTCATAATTTTTTGAGACTTGATTAATATTTTTTCAATTTTTATCTCAAACCCACTAGGGGTAGAGATTAAGCCAGACCATTTCTAAGGAGTCCTGCTTCGAGCCCACCATTTTAAAGCTCTCTAAGACATCCTAGTCATATCGAAATAATCTAGAATCCCATCACCCATTTTAAGTCATTTGTGCATAAAACAATTCTCATGCAAAGTAAAATTGCACAAATTTCTAACAATGGCAGCAATTAATAAATTCAGGAAATTATAACAAGATGCGATGCATTTATTTATTATAAATAGAATAAACCGATAAAATTATGTATTAACGCTATCAAAAGTTGCACGTTGAGTATAATTTTCACTTTTTCTTTATTCTCTAGTTTGCTGTGGTTGTCAAAATAATTTGGCCTAGCCTTCTTTAAAAATATGCTTCCTTAAGTCATTGGCCAAACAAGTTTCAGCAATAATAGTCGAAAGTCAAAATAGACAAAGACACTGAAATTTTCATTTCTGTTTTTTTACGTAGCCTTAGTGAATACTCGCGCATGATTGCAGATGATTCGACAAATAATAAGCAATTCAAGAAAGTCATAGGTTGACCTTGAGTAATGGGACGTCGAAATTGATTAAAAGTGAAATTCGTGATAAAATTCAAAGACATGAGCATAGAGACCGAGCTATTTAGAGGACCATAAATTATCTTGCAACCTTTAAGAAGCGGTAAAATCTAGATCTTCAACTTATGAAGGTGGCACTCATCTTGAGTAGTTTCAACACAGTTCATAAGACTTAAGAAATCTTACTTGCCCCTCTCCTCGCTAGGATTCTCTCCTTTCCCTCTCATCTTCACCCAACGGTCTTCTTCAATCTCCATGGAAGGGAGCGTTTGAGCTAGATATGAAACCCCCCCCTTTTCTCTTTTTCTTTGGCTACTTTGATTCTCTGTTTTCTTTTTCTTTCTCCCTATTTTGTGGAGCTTTTCTCTTCTGATCTAATCTAGTTCTAGAAGCTTCTCTGTCCCATTTCGGGGAGGTTTCTCCCTTGATCTAGTCTAGGTTTAGGGGTTTTTGCGTATATGATTTCGGGGTTTCAGTTCCCTCAGATTTTGTTGGTGTACAAGTCCAGTTTCGAAGGACATTGGAGGAGCTTCGTGAAAGTTTCGCTTTTGTGGGTGCTAGATCTATGCTCGTTCAACCTTGTTATTCTAAACGGCGATAGTGTTGGGAACGCCTAACCTAAGCGTGCACCACTGAAAGGCAAAGCCATAGTAATAGTTAAAGATCTTGATGTGTGTTGATTGTTGAAGACGTATTCGGTGATCAGCCGCTGATTTTGGTTTGAAAAAGCCATAGATCTGCTCTTTGAGCGTGTGATCAATAACCTTGTTCCGATGATCAATCTTGCTATCTGGAGCTTATTTTAATTTGAAATAATCTGAGATTTGTCTTAGTTTGCAGTTGCACTATGTTGTTTCTCTCTTGTTTTTTTTTGTAAATGAATGACATGTTATTTTGACAAAAAAAAATGGTTATCTCCAACTTTTGAGTTTGAATTCCCTTCATGCCCTAACCAATCTCCCCTTAACTCACTCGCTATTCTTTTTGCCAATCATAAGTACTCAATAATTACTCGATCATCAATACAATATGCATCCGATCAAGCAGTGTATCTTGCCAATCACGAAAAAGGATATTCATTCAAGATAAAGAAAGTAAGCGATAAGATTTGTGAAACAATTTGTTGAAGGAAATTAAATTCCCAAAGGTGGTCTTTTGTATTGTTGAAGAGAAAGAGGGGGAGAAGAAATGAGTTGAGAAAGAAAAGGTGATAGATGAGAATAAATAGTTGGGAGAAAGCTATTTAATTGGACAGAGGACAGAGATACTATAGATAATAGAGAAAAAGCTATTTGATTCATCAAAAGAGAGGGCTATTTTCAACAAATAAAAAAATGTTGGAAACACCTCCCTATTGTAAAAACCCTTGCATTCTTCTAAAGACGTAGACTGATTAGACCGTGTCAACAACGACAAATTTCAATAAGCTAATTAATGGACAGGTGACAATTGAACATTTTAAAGTGATTCAGGAAGCAACATTGCACACTAAAGAGAAGTCGAGGGACCTGCTCACACCAATTATAAATTCAGGGATGATATTGTATATAGGACAAAAATTTAAGGATTATTACTGTTATTTTCCCATTGAAAGAAAATCATCTTGCCAACGGATAAAATCATCACCCCGCCCCAACTGATGTTATGGGCCAACAACGGCTGGTCACTACTTCCTTGTTTACACTTTTTTTCTTCGTTCTTCGTTTGTTTTGGTAAGGAATTACCTAATTTGAAGCGTCGCTTTTGCTTACTGAAACATTGCCCAAGAAAAGAGCATACGTTTTGTATATGGAAACAAAAATATGAAAAAAAATGTTTTGGGAAAAAATATTTTAAATTTTCGTTTAGTTAGGAAAATAGACCGGAACTCTTTTAGAAAGTAAGGAGAATTAAACTCATCAAAACATATGACGGAAATCATTTACTTAAAAATATATATGGGTTTTTTTATGGATTTTATTCGAAAACTCTTGGAAATTAAACTATCTTTTAGATTAGCTATATTCTATAGAAAGATTTGAAAATAAGTTAATGATAACTGCACCACAGTAATTTGATAAAAAGCTTGAAAATGAAACTGTCTTTTTGATTTGGTGTATTTTATAGAAAGATTTGAAACATGGCCTAGGAAAAGAGCATACGTTTTGTATATGGAAACAAAAATAAGAAAAGAAATGTGTGGGGAAAAAAATATTTGAAATTTTCGTTTATTTAGGAAAATAGACCGGAACTCTTTTACAAAGCAAGAAGGGTTAAACTCGTCAAAGCATATGACGTAGATTCAAATTAAATTATCATTTACTTAAAAAAATATGGATTTTTTATGGATTTTATTCCAAAATGATTGGAAATTAAACTATCTTTTAAATTAGCTATACTCTATAGGAAGATTTGAAAATAACTGAACGATAACTGTACCACAGTCATTTAAAAAAAGCTTGAAAATGAAATTAGGCTTTTGATTTGGGGTATTCTATAGAAGGATTTGAATCTTAATCAAACCAAGAGAAAACTGTATAGAGATATATTCGTTCAAGGAAAAAAAAAACGAAGCGATACGATTTGTGAAACGATATGTTGAAAGAGGAAACTGAATCCGCAAAGAATGTCTTTCCTCTTCCACATAAGAAAGGACCCGCCTCGTGTTTTGAGGAATAAATTCATCAAAGAAGTTGCACACCAGGCAAATTGATCATTCAATCTACGACGAAGAAATGGCGAATTGGGAAGAACTCCCTCAAGTGATCCGAGGACTCATCGTTCGTCGACTAGCCACGGAAGACTTTTTAGCTGTACGACGGGTGTGCACCTCATGGCGGACCGCTGCCGCCAAAGAGACGTTCAATGCAAAATCTAGAGCCCCGTGGCTCATGATTTATACGTACAGCCGAATAGCCAAGTTCTGCAGCCCCTCTACAGGGAGTACTTACCCAGTGCAGTTGCCACGATACCATGGCCAGACCATGTCTACACCAGGATGGATACTAGTGTCTAGGGGGCCCAGCGAGTACCGTATCGTCAATCCGCTTTCATGCATCAGCATCGAACTCCCCGCCTTGGAGAAGCTTCACGGCGACATACATCACATCCACAAGATCGCATTGTCCTCAAGCCCTTCTTTGTCCAGGAGCTACGCAGTCATGATTTCTTATGGCAGATCACAAGGGTTTGCCTTTCTCAGATCAGGAGACGATGCGTGGACAGCAGTGAATGATGCGACGCATCTGCCTTGGTCCAACGTCATTCGACTGGTTTATTACGATGGGCTATTTGTGGCCTTGGATGAGCAGAGTCGAATAATGACTCTAAACGAGAGAAAGAGTCGCATGGAATCGCGACTAGTTCTAGGGCTGGATTGTTATGCTGACGGCGATCCGTATCTCGTTGAATGTTCGGGCTCATTGCTAGTGGCTTGGAAGATATGGGGCGAAAAGTATGGTGGATACGTGAAAGAGATTCGAGCTTTCAAAGTTGATTTGGAGAAGGGAACTGAGGAAGAGATCAAGAGTTTGGGGAACGCGTCTATCTTCTTGAATGGCAACGCTTCGTTCTCGGTGGAGTTCAACGCCGAGTCTTGCCTTCCCGGGATCAAGCCAAACAGCGTCTATTACCCGGATTACGAAGATGATCAGATGAAGAGTTACGGCATGGAGGATGGAAAATTCGAGACATACATCGATGAAACTAGCAGTTGTCTCTTTGATGCAACTAGCAATTGTCTCTATTATGATGCAACTAACAGGCGTCGCATCTATGAAGCCAAATGGTTCCAACCTGATTTTTGAACTTAATGTTTGAGTTTTTTCTCTTCCTCAATATGAAGATTTTGATTCAAACCTGGGTCCATTGGAATGGCCCATCTCCACCTTTGATCGTTAAGAGCCCTACACGTGTGTGACCCACGAGATCAACGGTCAAAACAAATAATTCCTCATTTACCATTTTTCGCTCATAGAACATATGTTAGTAGTGGGTGTTAGTTTAGATTTTTAATTTTTGATTAACTAATTTCTTGGACATGGATTTGAATGTTTTTAGCGGAAGATTACAGATATACATCTCAAAATTAAGGATATGTGCGCAAAATTAAAACAAGAGATTAGTTAGGTAATCATCTAAAGATATCAAATTTTAATTATAAATTGATATCTAACATTCTCTTTACTTTTATATAGTGAGATGATATAAGGGTACTTTGGTCATTGAAAATTGGTTACATATAGTAGGGCCTAATATCCTAAAATACCTCAAACTTTAACATTTGTCCCAGTTTTACCTTTTGTTTTATAAAAAACCTCCAACTTTAGGTTATGTTCCAATTCTACTATAAACTTTTTTTGTCCCATGAAAAACCATCAACTTTAGGTATTGTTCCAATTCTACCATAAACTTTCTTTTATTCTATGAAAAACCCGCAACTTTACGTCTTGTCTTTATTTTACCCTAACATTTTTACAATCTCATAAAAATCAACAAACTTTTATTAGAGTCACAAATCTACGCCCATCGACCATCCGTCCAAAATTTCTTGTTGACAATGGAGAGATGGAAAACTCCTAAGCACAAGTTGTTTGAGTGTCCTGAGCGTGAGTTATCCGACCGCGAGAGATGGAATATTCCCACGAATGAGAAATTGAAGACCAAGCGCAAAATCATTAAGGGTGATTTTGACGGAGAGTTAATAGAAAGTAAATTTGGAACTCAAGTAAAAGTTAGTGATCTTTTATGAGATAAAACAATTAGAGTGAAATTGAAATTACACCTAAAGCTGATTTTTTTTATGAGACAAAAAAAGTTTAGGGTAGAATTGGGATTGGACTATTATTTTCCCTTTGAAAGAAAATCATCTTGCAAGCCGCCCCAGCTGATGTTATGGTCCAACAACGGCTGGTCACTACTTCCTTGTTTACCGTTTTTTTCTTCGTTCTTCGTCTTGTTTCGGTAAGGAATTACCTAATTTGAAGCGTTGCTTTTGCTTACTGAAACATTGCCTAGGAAAAGAGTATACGATTTGTATATGGAAACAAAAATAAGAAAAAAATGTATTGAGCAAAATATATTTGCAATTTTCGTTCATTTAGGAAATGGACCGGAACTCTTTTACAAAGTAAGAAGTATTAAACTCATAAAAACATATGACGTAGATCATTTACTTAAAAAATATATACGGGTTTTTATGGATTTTATTCGAAAATGCTTGGAAATTAAACTATCTTTTAGATTAGCTATATTCTATAGAAAGATTTGAAAATAAGTGAATGATTACTGCACCACAGTAATTTGAAAAAAGCTTGAAAATGAAACTATCCTTTTGATTTGGCGTATTCTATAGAATGATTTGAATCTAAATCAAATCAAGAGGAAACTGTATAAAGATATATTCGTTCAAGGAAAAAAAAGAGAAGCGATAAGATTTGCGGAACAATATGTTGAAAGAGGAAACTGAATCCGCAAAGATTGTCTTTCCTCTTTCACATTAGAAAGGACCCGCCTCGTGTTTTGAGGAATAAAGTCATCTAGAAGTTGCACGCCAGGCAAATTGATCATTCAATCTACAAAGAAGAAATGGCAAAATGGGAAGAACTCCCTCAAGTGATCCTAGGACTCATCATTCGTCGACTAGCTACGGAAGACTTTTAGCTGTTCGACGGGTGTGCACCTCATGGCGGTCCGCTGCCGCCAAAGAGACGTTCAATGCGAAATCGAGAGCCCCGTGGCTCATGATCTATACGTACAGCCAAATAGCCGAATTCTCCAGCCCCTCTACAGGGAGTACTTACACAGTGCAGTTGCCAGGATATCATGACCAGACCTTGTCTACACCAGGATGGATGCTCGTGTTAGAGGGGCCCAGCAAGTACCGTATCGTCAATCCGCTTTCGTACATCAGCATCGAACTCCCCGCCTTGGAGAAGCTTCACCACGACCTACATCGCATCCACATGATCGCATTGTCCTCGAGCCCTTCTTCGTCCAAGAGCTACGCAGTCGTGATTTCTTATGGCAGATCGCCAGGGTTTGCCTTTCTCAGATCAGGAGAAGATGCGTGGACGGTAGTGAATCTTGTGATGCCTCTGCATTGGTGCCCCATCCTTCAACTGATTCATTGCGATGGGCTATTTGTGGCCTTGGATGAGCAGAGTCGAATAATGACTCTTAACGAGAGAAAGAGTCGCATGGAATCACGACTAGTTCTAGGGCTGGAATGTTATGTTGACGGCGATCCGTATCTCGTTGACTGTTCGGGCTCATTGTTAGTGGCATGGAAGATATGGAGCGAAAAGTACGGCGGACCCGTGAAAGAGATTCGAGTTTTCAAAGTTGATTTGGAGAAGGAAACTGAGGAAGAGATCAAGAGCTTGGGGAACGCGTCCCTCTTCTTGAACGGCAACTCTTCGTTCTCGGTGGAGTTCAACACCGAGTCTTGCCTTCCCGGGCTCAAGCCAAACAGGGTCTATTACCCGGATTACATAGATGATCAGATGAAGAGTAACAGCATGGAGGACGGAAAATTCGAGACATACATCGATGCAACTCGCAGTTGTCTCTTCGATGCAACTGGCAATGGTGCAACTAGCAGGCGTCGCATCAACGAAGCCAATTGGTTCCAGCCTGATTTTTGAATTTAATGTTTTGAATTTTTTCTCTTCCTCAATATGAAGATTTTGATGTCAAACCTGGGTCCACTGGTATGGCCCAGCTAAGGGCCCTACACGTGTGAACCACGGGGATCAACCTTCAGTACAAAATTTTTTTCCATTTAGCTTTTTTGATAATAGAACATATGTTAGTAGTGGGTGTTAGTTTAGATTTTAATTTTGGATTGACTAATTTCTAGGGACGACATGGATTTGGATGTTTTTAGCAGGAGATTACGGATATACATCTCAAAATTAAGGATATGTGAGCACAATTAAAATGAGAGATTAGTTAGGTGATCATATGGAGATATCAAATTTTAATTATAAATTGATATCTAACATTCTCTTTACGTTGATATAGTGAGATGATATAAGGGTACCTTGGTCATTGAAAACTGGTTATCATAAATAGTCAAATAAATACCATAAATAGATTGCTAGGTTCAAATTCAATTTGCATCTGAATCCCAACAAACCATTTGAAATTTGTGAGTGTTATCCCTAATATTGTTGGAAGTTGCTAGACACAAAATAGAAAATGGGAAATTGATACACTCTCCGAGTATTTAGACCGAACAATCGAACTAACTGGATTGGCACCAGTAAAATTGGGCGCTTATGCCCCTTATTGTGCCCTTAATTGTGCCAAGACACTGGGGCGGATAGTAACCAAAACATGGAAAACAATTTTTTTGCTTTTTGAAGGTGTTTTTTCCAGTGGTGGAAATTCCATGACTAGTTTATTCTCCATAAAATTAACGCCCGAAAATCCGAAAAACTTTTTCTTGGAAGTTATTTTCTTCGTTCGTTTCGTGGAAAATGCAACGTTTTTAGAAAATATTTTTCGGAAAGTCATCTTCTAGGAAAATATTTTTGTCATTCGGTATGAAAAATCCTCATTGCACTCATTTTACTATATTTTTTTCTTTTATTTTTAAAAATCGAATTTTTATTTATTTATTTTTAAACTTTAATATTTTAATTTTTTAATTTTCTTTTTTTCTCTTTTTTTTTCTTTTCTATTTTCTTTTGCCGGCCACCGACCACAGCGACTGACAGGGACTAGCCACAGGCGAGGCTCAGCCTCGCTCGAGCCTTTATGACCTTAGGTGAGGCCTCGCCTCACCTCATCAGCCTCGCTAGCCTCAAGCGAGGCCAAGCAACGCCAAATCTGGTGAAACTCGGCCTCGCTCAAGCTTCACCGGCATCGAGTGAGGCTGAGCATCACCGGATCTAGTGAGGCCTCGCTGGAGCCCAAGCCTCGCCTGTGGCCGGACGCCGTGGAAAAAAAATAAAGGAAAAGAAAATAATTAAAAATGGTTTTTTTAAAAAAAATATAAATAAATAAAAGAAAAAATAAAAATAAAAGTAAAATTTGTTATGTGAAAAAAAGTGAGGTGGAAGAAGATATGGAAAATGTTTTCCGCTTTCAGAAAGCAGAAAACATTTTCCTGATTTTTGAAAGTGTTTTTTCCATTGGTGAAAATCGTTTTCCATGACTAGTTTATTTTCCATGAAACGAACAAAGTCTTAATAATTTAATCATTTTCTGATCTAGCACCTGGATTTTGTTTAATGTGGAATGGGAAATTGATACACTCCCTGAGTATTTAGACCGAATAATTGATGTGTGTCACTTTCCTGAAGTCACTTTTCTTTTAGCGTTCCTTTACTTTGGCCTGGCATTGAAAAAAAAACTTTTCTTTCTAGGGTAATTAGACCAATGTCACAATAATTGAGAATGGACCGATTCGCTATTTTATTCACTTGCTATGATATGATAAAATTGCATAAATACATGAATTCGGGGTTCATCTAAATTAATCTTTGTTTTATTCTTGCAACTTAATTTAAATCTTGCGACACGCATTTTGACTTTTGTTAATTTAAAATATTTGAGACTACAAACATGCAAGTTAACGTATGTAGATTCATATGTAATTTTTTTTCCTTGTTCTTTTGAAATGTAAGTAACGTTTTTTTTTTTAATTGTATCCCGAGCAGACTAGAAAGGATTAGGGAATAGGTTGAACCCTTTCTAATGAACCTTGCTTCGAGGCCCACAATTCAAAACTCCAAGGGGTAATGAACCGAGAAACTGAAGAATGAAGGGTTCAGAACCTATGCTTAAAGATGGAAAGCTA